ACAAGTATGGCACCAGGAATACAGACTGTGAGGGTCCTATGTTCACTGAAGCTGCTCAGACTGGGTCTGCAATCCTCAGACTCTGATGAGTAAAGTGGGAGTTTCCCAGCAGAGTATAAGTATGGAGTCAGACATTTCATCCTTATTTCCAGCTGAGAGAGGATGAGGAGCCTCTTAAACTAGCTTCTAGCTGCAACCATCCCCAACACCCTCTTCCAACAGCAAGGATCAGCAGGCACATCTCTAAGGCCATCTCCTTAGTAGCCTTTGGTACCCTCGAAGTTTCTGCTATTTGTGGATCAGAGAAGATACTCGTGATAAACAAATGCACTGTTCATGATACTACATGGCACCTGTGAAATATTGCCAGTCCATGTTTCCATGCTTATGATTCTTGGGTCTGCTTTACCTCCAAACTAAATGTTGGTAAAAGTTGTAGATGAAGCCCATGGGAATTCAGCTGTAAGCATCTACAGTGGTGCATTAATTACCCTGAAATATTTGATCAAATTAAAAATTATCAGATGTTTCACAGTCACCAAACAGATGAATGGAAATTATTAGCATCTAGGCATCTCTTCCTTAGTTTATCACTTGCTAACTGTTAATTCAGTAATTTAATATTAAATTAATTAGAAAGTAAAAAGATGCTATAGAAAACCCCTGAGGGGAAAAGAGGAAAGATGCATGCATGTATGGAAAGATCTAGAATGCATGAATTAGACCCTTGATAACATTCTAAAACTGAAAAAAACCCCAAACCTTTAAAGTACTTTGTTTACCCAGTATCCAATATAAAATCAAGCTTTTTACAATTCTTTAATCTGGAAGCATTATCTTATTTATTGTCTAACATAAGCTTAACATTGTGATACATTGCTGCATTAATTTTAGTTATGTTTAAGAAAGACTGGTTGTTCTTTCCAGTTTTTGTTTATTTGTAACAAAATAGTAAGTATTTAAAGTTGAAGACTGGTGGCATTCATTTTATGTGTGGTCTATTTTATACATTATGCATGGTGTCTCATGTGTGTTGCTATATATTTCACTTTTTTGTAAAATTGAAACCATTGCAGTTCCAATTCTAATAGCTCTGCTGCCTTTCTGGTTTTATTCTGTAAATCTGAAATAAAGAGGAATTTAGAGTGTCTGCCATTCTAAAAAACGAAATCAGGCCAGATGTGGCAGTATTAACACTTCACTGTTCACCAAAGCTTTGTACAATCAGTAGGAGATGAATTATTTTAGTTTGTGAGTAACAGTTATTCTAGAAAGGCAAAAGGTGAAAATTTAATTTTAAGAAAACTGGAATTTTGATTTCTACAGCTTCAAACAAGAATGTCATGTTTCATTATGCTGGCATTTGTTTTTTTGTTCAACTACCAGGGAGTGTACATGAATTAAGAGAATGGTATTAACATGTGTGTCCATAGCTAACTCTATATTCAATGCAGATAAAGTAGGAAATTTTGCTTAGTTTCTTGAGCAGCAGAGAAATTCAGGAATAGACCACACTGTCCTAGAAGAATTCTGTATATACACAGAAAATACAGAAGATCCCTTTCTAAAGTAGTAACTTTCAAGTATTCAGCTGAAATCAGCAGATGAACACATTGTCTGATGATGAAACTGCCATATTAGGAGTCTGTGGATATGATAAAACAGTTTCACATATTGACAGAAAAGTCAATGAAACTCCTTTTGTCCTACAAAAGTTATTTTTTTTACAGAGTAACTCTTGCAACCCTGACTGTAGTAGGCTCTTCTCTTAAAAATTGTGTGCAGTTTGATTGATTTGGTCAAGGGAAAGTAAAAAAAAACATTTCAAACCCTTAATCCATTTTATGGTGTGAGGGTGTGAGGGTGTGGGGGTGTGTGTTTCTCCATGCTGTTTTCTTCTGCATCCTGTACAAAAGAAGGAAAAACTAAAGCTGCCATTTGATGTAATTATACTGCAGAGTATGTTTCTGGCTGAGTTATAAGCTTCAATCACTGGTATCTATTACAACTAAAGCTGCCCTGTAGGTAAATTATTTGGTTTAAGTGAATAACTTATGCTTTACCAGCTGTAGATCAAAGGCTATGACCAATTCATTGAACACCATGAGATTCTTGCAGGGATTTAAAAAAAAAAAAAAAGTTGTTGTAGGAGATCTGAATAGGTTTCCTGTTCTTCTGTTTAACTTCATAGTTTGAAAACCTCTTTTGGAGGAAAGAGCACAATGTATAGACTGTTATCAAATGCAAAATATGACCATGTGTGAATGCGCAAATAAAGTGAGAAATGTTTGTGGAATGATCACAGTATTTGCCATTCTTTTTTGTATTGCCAGAGACAGCAAATGGGAATAACTGATTTTTGTTTTAGCTTATGCTGTGAAAAAAATTGGGAGCAAATTACTTGGGGTCAAATGAAGCAGTTTATTATTCTGCCATACAGGAGAATATACATTTCTCTACTTTCAAGTGATCTTTTGTTTCCTTTTTAATTATCACACCAAGGTCAATTTGTTTTCCTTCTCGTGGGGAAGTGGGGACAGCATACATTTGCAACTGGTTTTGGTGAATAAACTATTCATGTGCAGAATTTTTCCCTGCTCTGTGGTTAGATATCACTGTTCAGGCTCTCTGTTGCTAGCCTGAGCTGTATGTTACATCTCTCACAACAACACACTAAATGATTTATTTTGAAAGATCAGAAGCACTTGGTTTGGAAAGAAATGTGAGCTGCACCAAGGGCAGGGCTCCCACAGGGGTATCCCCTTAGTTTGGGGAGTGGGATATGCAGAGGAAGACACAGCGTGGCTCCATGGGAGCACAATGTGAGGAAGGAGAACCTGGTGTGGCTAAGAAACACTGGTACTTGAAGGCTGCCACTTTTTAATTTGTACAGATGTGAGTAGTTGAATCTGAAGGACTTCAGAAGTGTGATGCAAAATTAATTTTCGATTTTCAGTTAATTAAGACTCCCGATATGTGTAAAGAAAAAAAATCACTTACAGAAGTGTTACGTAGAAGTAATCTGACCCAATTTGCAATGTGAGCCTAGCAAATTTCTCTTGTTCTTATACTAATTAATTCTGGACTGAGGGTGTGTTTCAATTGTTTCGAAAAAATACTCAAGTGAAACTTTCAGAATCAAGAATTCAGATATTTTTTTTTGGCCAGATATTTAGAAAAACCAGTTTAAGAGACTTGTTTCAGCATAGTGATCAGGATTATTGATGAAACCCATGTGCTCTGTTGTTGGGAAAAAGATTCATTAAACATGTACTTTTTACCTCTTCCTCCTGAGGTGCAGCCTGGGCTAATATTCAGTGACAGTAAGAGCCACTGTACTGCAAAATGAATGGGGGGCTCATGTCAAGCCTGGATTTTCTGTAATGTTAACCAGAGAGGACGTGCTCTCATAGGCCAGTTGTCTCTACATCATGCTGTGCTGGTCCCAGTGGCACAAGAAACAAGCAAGGAGTCCAGTAAGGACTTTGCCATTTAACTCTTTTGCAAGCCTTTCAATTACTTAATTCTTTTTCTCTGTTTCAGGACAACTGAAGGCTGTTAGCAAAATATTTTCAAGCTATTTAGCTGCCATACAGTGCATGACGATTCAAGGTTAAGCTGTTGAAACAAACATTAAAGCTAGCTTTATGATCACTTACCTTATTCCCACTTTAAGCATATGTTATTTTGCAAGATACACATCAGTGGAAAAGCTGGGTCAGCAGCAGTGATGGAAATGTTGGATTTGATCGTGGGTGTATGAGCAGACCCACACGGTTCTTGACAGTGGTTGTATTGTAATCACATTAGAGACTTTTTTGATACTCCAGGCCTGCATTTAATCACAGCAGTTCCAGGTAACTGCTTCACAAACAGCTTCTCTTAGGCTTCAAAGCTGCCATGAGGAAAGAGGTGACCTCTTTCTTTGTAAAGACAAAACTGTAAAACAACCTACTAGGTTTTCTACCAGTTCAGGCTGTGAACTGCTCTTGCTCTCATCTATGCCTAAGGAACTATACAGATACCTTACCTGTTCTCAGAACTGATTACAGACATAAAGCCCTACAAAAAAATAAAATTGGAGCTGCATATTTAAAAAGCCTTAACTTCACACTTTCAAATAATTACAATTATATCCTCTCATTAATAGCTGAGAGTTTAGTATGTGCATTCAGCAGCTTAATAAACTGTTTGTTGTGTGCCACTAAACCTAAATCCAGGCTCTCCTTTTTAACAGTGAACCAAATTCAGACACCACATCCAAATCCAGAAAGTTGTATTTCCTAGCATAAGCAATTAAATCTGCACAAAGATACAAGTGCAATTGTTTTTGTACATAAAAATCGTCATGCCTTACAGATCTTTCAGAGGAGAAGAAATCTTCCTTGGCAGAGATTGAACACATTAATTAGCATTTAAATATTTGTACTTAAATACCCAAAAATGTAATAAGGTAGTCTGTTGAATAAAATGTATTAACAGTTAACATAATAAAGCATGATAAAATGTTAAAGGCTTTCTGGTTATTCCTCTGTGTGCCAGGAAGAAGGATTAGGGCATATTAAGGGTGGACACCTTCATCTTTGGTGGACCTGGATGCTGTTGTCTTTGCAAGGAATGCTGATAAAAGGATTGTGCTTCATATAGGTGGATTTCCTAGGTACTCAGCTGAAACCTTGTTGAATTCGGAGGATATTCCTGTATTGTTCTCAAAAAAATTGATTCAGAATTGGGTTAATCAAAATACTAAATATCACTAAAATATGAGTGTGCAAGCTCCCAACAAATAATCACTTATTCTGTACTTCTGGAGAGCAAAAGTATCTGTCCATCTAGAGTTCCTTGATCATCTACATATTTCCCATATTGCAAAGATTTATTACTGGGGGTTTGGGGATTTTTCTTTGCCTTGAGCTTACTTTCTGTTCCAGTTGAAAATGTCATTACAAGTAACAAATGTTTCTTTGTTTTTTTGTTGTTTTTTTTTTCATCCCATACAGTGTGAAAGGAGCAGATGCTGGGAACGTGATCAGACTATTTGTACCAGATATTGGGATGTTCATTGCTAGTCTGACAATATGGCTCATCTGCCGCAACATGTTTCAGAAGCCAGTAACGGAGGATGCAGCACAGTGGAACATGCAGTTTGAAAATGAGGAGATGGTATCAAACACACATTTCTATCTGTATGGCTTTTAGTGAGCTTTGACATTCCTGTGTTCTGAAACGGTTTCAGGAGGGCTGGCTATGTTAAGAAGTAAACTTTCTTTCAGGAAATGAAATGATTGGTTTTAAATTGGAAAAAACTAAAGTTATTATGTTGAGAACATAAAACAGAATATGAAAAGTGGTAGATATGCTACAGGATTTTTCAAATAATTTTGAGTCAAGAAACAATCACGAGAGTCTAGCACAAGTTTTTCTTCATCAGAGTTAAATCTGACTAGATTATTCTGCTACATACTGTTCTAGGTTTCTTAGATTATTCTGCTACATACTGTTCTAGGTTTCTTAGGTAGCATTCCTATTTCCAAATTTGTTATCCAAGTATAACAGTATAACATTTGGGGGAATGACTTAGCTGGAAGTGTTGATGTGTTTGCTGTGCCTTTTACTAGTGGGGAGAAGAGTAGCAGAGATATCAAATGCAGAAAAATCCACAGAAAGAGGAAAACAATTTTATAAAGGGTGTAGAGAAATTCGTACTACTAATCTTAACATGTTTTTTATCAGACTGTCTAGCATGGCTTGGGGCTCATTTTCTGTCTTCTTTTACATAAGGGGGGAATGTTATTTCTTTACTCTCAAAACACCACTTTTAGGGGAGACAATTTCAATTTGCTCATTTCAAATAGGAATTGAACTTTGAAGTGGGTGAAATACTTAGAGGGATCAGTTGCCCATTTTGGTGCCACAATATAGAGTAAAAAGAGGCCTCTCTTCATGTTGCCTGGTTGTCTGGATTGTGGCAGTGCCAGGAGCTGGTCAAGTTTCTAGCACATGAGAGATCAATATCAGGACTGTGCTTTATACTCAGTCATATGCAAAGCTTTGTGTCTCCTGGAACTCAGTTTTATCAGCTTTAAATCTGCTTTATCGTTGAAACTGTGCAAAATGGATTTTGCAGCAGGCTAGAACTGTGGGCTATACCCAGAAAAGGAAGAACTGTGGCTTATTAGCATGGTTTGTGTTCAGCTCTTGTCTTGAACGAATTTTATTTTACCAAAGTGAGTTCCAACAGACTTCTTTGGTGCTCTTGATCTTCTGAAAAGAAGGTATTCATAAGCACAAAACAGGAATAATCTGATGGCAGCAACTCAGAAGAAAGATGGGCATAGTTTTCTTCCTCTGAAACCAGATGATGCTGTTTAGATATTCACTTTTCCTTTGGTTCAGAGGTGAGCCTGAGGCTGGAGTCTGGGTCAAAGGGAGCTCAGTGTCTTGGAGAGGATGGGTGCTGGCTCCCAGGCAGGGTTCAGTAGTCATTTCCCTCCAGTGCAAGGAAAAAACTGAGCTAACAAGCACTAATTGCATGGCAGAGTGCAGCTTTTCATTGGGCTGGTCCTGGTCTGGCTACCTCAATGCCAAGGAAAGGGTATTCCACAAGGGAGGAAGGTGGGAGAGAAGAAAACTCTGACTGCAGAGAAATATGAATACTGGGCAAATAGAAATATGTGTAAATATGTTATTCTTCACATCAAAACCCAGTGAATATTATTTGTGTTCTGTAAACTGCATGCATTGCAGAATATTTAGTGAACATGGCAGCTGTGTTTGGATCTAGTGACACCCAAAGTTCTATCACAGACATTTTTTTTAAAAAGGGGTAATATTTTCTGTTATGTGAGGGCATCCCAAATACTTTAAGGAATTCTGCCCTTCACAGCCAGGTTGATGAACAGTAATCTGCTGGCTTTTTAAAGATTGAATGAACTGGAGAGTGGAAAATCAAATACCAATTAAACATATTTTTCCACACCTCAGTTTTCTCTTTCAGCTGCCTGCACATAACTGCTAGTAGGAGGAAGAAGCAGAAGCAGATGAATCTGCTAGGAATAAGTATTCGTCAGGACTGACTGTAAGGAACTTAATGCATATGCAGATGAGGCCACTGAATGTCTGAATTTGGGAGAATGTTGGCACGGTCTAAAATGAATCCAAACTATGTAGGTTTCACGTAATTGTCAATTCTTTCTTGGTAGAGTACACTGGAAAAGGGAAGACTTAGTAAGTGACCAGTTCTTTGAATTCTTCAGGAGCTGACTGATGCCTGTGGTTCTATGTTGGTGCAACTCATTACTGATGCTGTAATTCCATTGGATTAGAAAACACAAACTGACTTGCAGCAACAGCTGTCCTACAAAAAGACACTCCAGGAAAAATGCTGAGATTGGTACTGTACCTCCAAGGGAAATAGTCCTGGGTTTGTTTGACCAGTCCTGTAGCCAGTTCTCAAGTCGAAGAGCTCCTGCTGAGAGTTCCTGCCACTAGTCCTCAGAAATTTGTGGTAGAAGATTTCGTTAAGAATGTATCAGTTGATTTAAACAGCCTTAGCAGAGCCTTTAGAGAGGTAATTTTCAGGTTGATAGATGCCTAGCCATGGATGGTTCTATAAATCAAGAAATCAGCACTTCCAAGTCAAAGCAGTGTCTTGCAGCTTTACCTTCTTGCATTAAATTATTTACATTGAATGATTCCCACATCTCTGCTTTGCAGGAGAGTGAAATACTATCAAAACAGGCTTAATTAAAAAATGAAGGTTAATCTATTTTCTCCTTCTAATATTTTTGTATAGGAAGACCTGTTAAATAATTGGTTTAATACTGCTAAAATTGACTTTTTCAAAGGTCTGTGTGAGCCCATCACATTTCAGTTGATATATGGGCATGCTGTAAAAATGCTTCCAGTTGAGCAGTAGTTTGTGTGCTGTATTTTGGCATGGCAGTAGCCTCCAGTATCCAGCCATGATGGATCATATTGCTTGTGGATTGATAGGCAATTCAAACCAAGAAAACGTATCAGAATCCAAATTAAGAACAACAAGGATTCATTGAAAAATTTATGTCTTTCTCCATTACGCTGCATCCAACTTTAAGGGAAACAGATCTCCATCAGAAAAGTTTATTCTGCAGAACAGAACTGGGGGAGGAGGCTCTAAGGCAGTGAGACTCTCAATTATTTGTAAGTAACGCTATCCCAGGAATAAGCAAAGAGTGTGGTTTTAATTAACAGTGAGTCATGGACTAGGAAGGTCTGCCAGATACCAGGCTGCAGTCCAACTCATTACCACCCCTAAATGGTTGCACACTTGGAGCAAACGTGTCTGCAGGCCCTTTTTATTAGGGCTCAGAAAATTTAAAGCAGGTGAATACAGCTGGAGACAGGCCTGGGTTTCAAATGCCGAAAAGCATAATGCCAGTCACAAGGTGTGAAAGGTGGAAGAAAATAAGAAACAACAGTTAACTCCCAGCTGCAGCTGAAAGTACGACATTTTTGATTTGGAGCAGATGGGAGTTTATGTGCCAAAATGCAGATACAATATATACAGTCTGATAGGTATTAGAAAGGAAGTAGCCTTTTCTTGAGACTGTGGATGAATTGCTTGATGTTTTAAGTGACAGTGGCAGGAAGGAAAATCCTTCTGCAATTACACAAGTTAAACTTTAGAAGAGGTGTTGATCTTAACTGAAAAAAAACCTGTTGTAGTCATCAGTGCAACTTCCTCCCAAGGCATTCACTGCCTTGCCCACTGAAGCTTGTTTCTCATGCACGATGTCCTAGAAAGCAAGTAGGACCATTAGGTTCTTGCTTTGTCTCATAATCTGGGGCAAGCTTGGTTCCAAAGCTTCTGCCCATCTTCTTTTCTGCAGAAGTCAGAGATTTGTTTGGGATCTCAAAAGGCAGGAAAAAATGGAAAAGAAAAAGGAAATAGAGGATTTTTTTTTTTTATTTTATTTTTTTTTTAATAAACTAAAGTTTGAGAAGAATGTGAGGAGAGCTTGGCCTGGAGTCAAGATACTGGGCTGGAATCAGGAGGACCAGCATAGTTCTCACTTTGGCCACGAACTTGGTTTGTGTCCTCAAGTCTGTTACTTCATCTGTGTCTTGGCTCCTGTGTCCCTTGGCACTCAGAAGCAGTAAAATGCTTGGTTCCCTAGCGTTGTCCTTCTGAACAGTGGCAGGCTGTTTGCCTTCCTCCTACCTTGAGCACGTAGGGCATTGAGAGCTCTCACTTGGTCCAGGTACCCAAGTGTAACTGCAGTATATTCCATACAGGACAGAACAGACAGGCTCTGAGAACTGTTCCCATGTTCCATGCCTTGTCCAAGGACTTTCTAGCGCAGGAATTACACATTTAGACCCATTTATACTTATCCTGAAAGTAGCTGGTATCTGCTGGGCAAGAACAACAATGAGTAAGAGAATACCCCTTTGCAATGTTACAGTTTATCCTGATCTTTCCTAGTGTGAGAATGACTTTAATCCTAAAACATGTGGTTTCAAATCCCTTCCAAAACCAAGTTATTTATAATTATAGCTGCTCTGATTAATCTTGTTAAACATATAATTATCCAGACTCTTTTAAAACCTCATTAATTTCTTGGCTTCAGTGGTGTCATGAAGCAAGGACTTCCACAATTTAATAAGTGTTTTATGATTTTATTTTGAATTTAACACTCTTTAATTTTATGGAAGGTCCTTGTATTACATGTTATAAATCAGAGTGAGATGATATAAGGGAAATCAAATGTATTTATTATCTTCTATATTTGACCTTTTCAAGCTAAGCAATCTCTGGGGGTTTTCCTTAATTTCTTTTGTCATTTTAATTACTTCTTTTTCTGAAAAATCTACAGTTCTGCAACATTCTTTTGAGCTACAGAGATTTTCGGTTCCTCAGCATTTCAGGCAAGGTGTTAGTGTTGGTTTAAATGATAATATTATGACATTGATTTTTAGGTTCAGAGATTTTAGGGCTGAGTAATTCTACCAGCACATCACCTACTGCATGTCCTGCATAAGAGAACAGCTCTGAGAAAGGTCTGATGTCCCAGTCTTTGCAGTTTCATTCTTCTTGCCTTCAGATATAACCTGCCTTAAGCAGTTTGCAGTGATGCCCATGACCCTGTCCACAGGACCATCCCATTTTCCTTGAAACCTTT